GTCTTCTTCGATTACTCTACATGTGGTGAACAGAGCAGCCCACATTTATAAGCCACACAGTATTAATTAGCAACCATGTTATTTAACTTGACAAATATTCAGTTGGAAGAGGAAGCGGAATAAATGTGAGAGATTAAACCTCAGAACTCTACGTCACCCCTGGTCATGTGACACTTGTCTAGAAAACATGTGTGGGTCTGCTGTTCACACCACTGTAACACATTCACTAGTTTACTGCTGGTGCCTCGGCATCAAGCCACAGAACTGATACAAGCTCGGGGTCATACGCTTACGAGTACGAGTTCTCCAGTCACACAAAGCCCACTTGCTGTAGGCTACCAAATACTTTCCACCAGTGTCAGAGAGGCCATCCAAAATCCACCTCAGACTACAGATGTGCTCTTCCCCTGACCTTGTTTTGTCTGCTTTGTCCTCTGTCGCACCCTTCCCAGCCTCACCCTCCTTCTGACTAATGGATTAAGGTAATTATGACATGGCTGTGCCCACATTCTGTTGGTGGGGTGAAAATTGATATTCCACCTTTGCTGGTCTCACTAAACTGTTGATGAAATTGCATTGCCCAGAGCAATACCAGCTCTTCATGTTAGTAGATATGTAAAGCATGGGTAGAGTTTCTTCGTCATTTTAAAGTTAAAAACAAGCGCTCAAAGTGTGTTTGCAGGTGCTATCAGCTTTCAGCTATTCACCAATGCAGACATGGATACAGTAATATGCTCAGGTTAGGGACGGCTCACAAAAGTGTTGGAATGCAAAAGAGGCTGATTAGATGGCCTTATCCAGCCCTGTCTGGAACTGAGCAACACCCACAACCACACACACACACACACACACACACACACACACATACACAAACACCTAGTCTAACAGACATACAGCAAACAACTCACTGACCTCTGCTCTTTCCACTCAGTAGCCTCTTTCGCTCACCAGAATGACTGCCTCCACCACTAATACTCTAATCTAAATGACACTCTTTGTGTTATTGCTGACTTTAGGTTAAATAATTGAATTTGTTTACATTTCAAAAGTATTTTCTGAGGAGGTTATCGCAAGATATTGACAGATGTCTTGCCTATCTCCACAAACTTAAAAGAAGTCAAGTGTCAGTCTAGACAAGCGGTCAGTACAATGGAAGTATAATTCCTGACTTCCTCCTGTGCTTGCTTCTTTCACCCAGGACATTTCTGGGACAGCACCCTGGTGTTTACTTCGAACAATCGATTCTGATTTCTTTTAATACTCTTTGCCTGGTCTGTGGCGCAAAGAATATTCCCATCGCAGTTTGTGGTATTGGCAACACATGGGTCCTGTTTTAATATCCTCCCTAAGCATTAAACAATGAACCCTCACCTGTGAGATCAAGTGTCTTAGTGAAACACTGTGTGAGGGCAACACTTGGTGAAGTCACAACACCTGGACAAAAGCATTTCTGAGGACAGTAAAGAGTGAGGCTGCTATGTAAGACTGATGCAGTTTATTGAACTGGTTTGTTCCTTGTGTAAAGGTTAAACACTTGTGTTGAAACAAATCAAGTATCCTACCATCACAGGAAAAACAAGTCCACATATACAGTACATAGTGTGGAATAACAAAAGCTGACTCCTTCCGCTATTTTAATGTCTCAACACTGTGCATTGTGGGTTTTTGCCTTAAGCAAGTTTTTAAGAAGCCTTAGTCCTCGCAGGCAAATCAGCAGGGTCCGTCACAATATATAAGTGTGTAAAGAAAGACTTTAGATCTCGTCCCTGATCACTTTAATGTGTACCAATAGTATACTGTTTATGCCAATAAACAGGATGGTGGGAGAGTGGTTTGAATCTGGGACCAGCAGCTTAGGAAACAAGAAGTTGTCTTGTGGTATTAAATCCCACATGACACTGCAAATAAATGTATATAATGCATCTTAAATCATTTTTGTAATTTCAAAATAGGCCATTAAACCAGTGGTTAATGGCCTATTTTAAGGCTTTAATAAAAATACAATGTTCCAAGGAAACTCTTGAGAATAAGAGTTTGGATCTGCAAATGTACATGTATCATGTTGTAAAAAGTGTGTTTACTGTCTCTGACTCGCCATATTTGCTTCAGTGCACCACACTCTTCTGTTTAATGCGGCTGCTGAGGTTTCAAAAATCTCTTCTGAAAAATGGGATTGGCCCTTTTAATGATATTGTAATGTTTCACGTCTTTGTCTTGATCGTCCCCCTCTTCATGGAAGCCTCTTCCTTCCTGGTTTGATAAGTTCTCTTCACAGTGGCTCGATCCTCTCCATGTAGATCTCTCTCAGCTCTGCATCATCAATAACTTCAAAGGGACAAAAGCAGCTAAATTAGGTCCGCCACTTTCTTCTGTCATGACTAATGAGCTCTCCCTTCGTTTGTGTATTAGTCTCGCTCTGCTGTGGCTTTACCCCAGGGAACAGACCACTGCTGCGCCTTCCCATGAACAGGTAAGCCCAAACAGACGACAAGGCAACAGAATGGAAACAGAAACAATAGGGTTCTACTTGAGTTTTGTTTGAGACACACACACAGAGTTGTATTAACTTGCAAGCAGATGCGTCCATTTACCCCTTTATTAGAACATTCAGTAACTGGCAATGATACTTGTGTGTGCGGTTAACTTATCTTTTGTGTGTTTCATAAACAATCTGCTAACCTTTCTGCTACATAAGTAACAGCAGCAGAAAAATATTTAACATATTATTATATTATTTTATTTCACACTTATGTCTTCATTGTGATCTGTCATTGTTAAAATATACAGCATCTGTCAGTATGTTTGTGCACTGCCTAAAGCAGTTATGACATCACATAGCCACACAACACAGAGAGACAGAGAGTGTTTCTACTAAATTTAAAACAGAGACAACCGAAATCTATCTTAGCTACAGTTTTGGACACTTATAGAGAAATGTTGAACTCCTTATGGTTATGAAAATATCTGACTGATTGGCAGGATCATCTTCCACAGCTTTTGGCAGCAGGGACTTGACTGGTTTGGCCTATCATTAAGTAGTGTGCACCCAGGAATCTAAAAATACTAAAAATACACATCTTCGCAACTATGAGATCATACACTTGGAGGGAGAGAGAGAGAGAGAAAGAGAAAGAGAGAGAGACTATGATTATAGGCTTTTGTCACAGGAAAGAAATGGTTATTTGTCAGCACCATGTCAAAAGAGAGGCCACAAAAGAAATCAACACTCTGACTGGCCAGAGAGACCAAGCATTAGTTCAGCTTAGATCACTCTTTTCCCAAACAAATTGCATTATTGTTGAATGAGTGAACTGCCATGTGTCCTCGGTTAATTGCATTAATGCAGATACAACAGGGGACTGAAATGTAAGGGTTTAAGTCCCATAGTAAAGTAATGTCATCCTTGTTGATGAATTCCGGTAAATGCATAGGAATCAAGCTGGATAAATTAATTACACTTGAAAGCCTGTCTGCTGAAACAATATGTGTCAGTATCACTTCACACCAGCAGTCAAATTAGGTGTCTGTCCTGTAAATGTATGATATAAAAAACATAAAAAGAAAATCACAAGGCCCTGTGTCCTCAGGCTAAGATAAAATATTCTTCACAGTGTTTGATCCAAATGGTTAAAACCCATTATGGCCTCCCAGCTATACAGGACACAGTGTTAGGGGAACTAGGAATATCCAGACTGCCTTATGTTACTGGTGTTGTACGTGAGTCAATTGAAAGTAGGAGACCTCTGAACTGAGATAAAGTGTACGAGAGAGGTTTATATGACTCCATAGAAACGCCTGGGTCAATGCTTAGATAAAGTGATTTTTATGGCTGTGATAGGCTACATAATTTCAGTCAGGGTGGAACATTGGGTTCATTGGTATTCACTTTCACTGACATGACTTCTTCCACACAGGTTTGAGTTTCTTTGAAATCCACAGGGATTATTGTGTATTTTCCCCTAATGAAATCAAAAAAATAAAGATACACCTAATTTGTGTGTGTGTGTGTTTTGCAAACAGCATGTTTATCATCCCTTTATAACATGTTTTATTCTTTATTTGAAATGTGTGGGCTGGTACACTGTTCGAAAGGGGAATCCCATGCACTGCCATGTCCAAAAGGTGGCAGTGTTGAGTTTTAAAATGCTGCGCAGAGGCATGACGACTCTCTTCAATTCACCTTTCATCTTTCTAGTCAGTTGTTACTGAAGTTGACACTCAACATAGTTCATATATGCCACTTATGTTTTATATAGCCTAGTTATTGGTGCTCTGAAATACCCGATATATTAGATATTGTCATTACTAAGTTGGAGTAGGTTTTGTAGGAGACGAACCAAATATGATATTCTGCATTAAAAACATTATGCAAAATACAAAAAATTATAAGACATCTAATTAAGCAGCCTACATAAGCAAATAATTAAATGTCGTCTATACATGAAAAGGTGAACAGTTATTCACTTTGTAGATTTTTGTCGATGCAAAAATTTAGATCTATTTATCTATATCTATATCTATCTACAACTATCTATTTCTATCTCTCTCTCTCTCTCTCTCTCTCTATATATATATATATATATATATATATATATATATATATATATAGATGTATATATAAATATATATCTATCTATATCTATCTATATGTTTTTTCTCGGTCTTTTCTGTATATGCTCTGCATTATTGTGTTGATGAATTTACAGCATACACGCCTCACTTACAACAAATTCATCTTGGGTAAATTGTTGCTCCACATAAAAATGGAGATTAAAATTACGTCCATAGTAGCCAAAGAGGTAAGAGTCTGTGTCCCAGCTGACAGTCAGCTGATGGCCTTTGACAGTTGCGAAAAGTTTTGTTTCTGTAGGCTACTAATATGTTAATTAGCTATCGGAGTGTGCGACCCTATTGGCTCTTCGTCCGAGTCAATTTCCCATTTCCAGCCTGACGTCAGGGCAGCTACAATGCTCTTAAACTCATCTGCTGTGTGATCCCTCTAAAAAATCGCCCCACCAGCCAGCGGCTTATAACGTGCGAGGCTGCATTTACTCCCCAACTTTCGACTTTCTCTCTCTCTCCGCGTGCGCAATGTACTCATGAGGAAACCGTAAAGTGTTAAATGTTTGAAATACAAAACCGCCGAATTTCACATGCTGAAAAAGGACTCCGCTACTCGTGCGCGCGGCACTGGTGTGTCTGTGCAATAGACTCTGCAAAGAAAAACTACTCTCACACGCCTGCAAGTCCGTGGCTGCAAAAAGGACGCTGAAAACCCTATATTTTCAGTTTCAAGACAAACGCTTAAAAATCAAACTGGCTCACGTTCTTCCCAACCAACCCAGTTTGACAGCTGCGCTTCACCCCGTTTGGAGGACTGTCAGCAGCAAGAGGATGGCATCAGAGCTGGCAATGAGCAACTCCGACCTGCCCACCAGTCCCCTGGCCATGGAATATGTTAATGACTTCGATCTGATGAAGTTTGAAGTGAAAAAGGAGCCGGTGGAGCCCGATCGCAACATCAGCCAGTGCAGTCGCCTTATCGCCGGGGGATCCTTGTCTTCCACCCCGATGAGCACGCCGTGCAGCTCGGTGCCCCCTTCCCCAAGCTTCTCGGCACCCAGTCCGGGCTCGGGGAGCGAGCAGAAGACACACATAGAGGATTTCTACTGGATGTCCGGTTATCAACAGCAGCTGAATCCAGAGGCGCTGGGCTTCAGCCCCGAAGACGCAGTCGAGGCGCTGATCAACAGCACTCACCAGCTCCAGTCGTTTGATGGCTATGCCAGGGGCCAGCAGTTTGCTGGCGCAACCGGAGCAGGAGGCACCATGGCCGGGGAAGAGATGGGGTCCGCCGCGGCGGTGGTCTCTGCAGTCATCGCTGCGGCAGCCGCTCAGAACGGAGGGCAACACCACCACCACCACCACCACCACCACAGCAACAGCCACCACCAGGCACCTGGCGTCCAGTCCAACGGCAGTCCTGGGACAATTCACCCACACATGCGCTTGGATGATCGGTTTTCAGACGACCAGCTGGTCACCATGTCAGTAAGGGAGCTCAACCGGCAGCTACGGGGAGTCAGCAAGGAAGAAGTGATCAGATTGAAACAGAAGAGGAGGACCCTAAAGAACAGAGGCTACGCTCAGTCCTGCCGGTACAAGCGGGTCCAGCAGCGGCACGTCCTGGAGGGAGAGAAGACGCAACTCATCCAGCAAGTCGATCACCTAAAGCAGGAGATCTCCAGGCTGGTCCGGGAGAGGGACGCGTACAAAGAAAAGTATGAGAAGCTCATCAGCACCGGCTTCAGAGAAAATGGATCCAGCAGCGACAACAACCCTTCATCCCCGGAGTTTTTCATGTGAGTCTCGACATTATCGTGAAAAAAGAATGAGTTACTCTCCCCCCACTTAAAAAAGTTTTCATTATGAAACATTTTTTTATTTGGCGCAAAAGTCTACTAGAGCAACAACTAATTTGTCAACTTTTTGTCATTTTTTTGATTTTATACATTTTTTTTTGAAAACGAGAGATTGCTCACGTCTGCGACTGTTTTTAGATTTGAAGGGCTTTGTAATCCGTGATTTTAATTTTGGAGAGGCATATTCAGAAAACTTTCATCTACTTTTTGCTATCATACTCAGTATATCATGCATAGCCTGTTTGTCAAGATTTTTTTTTTCTTCATCGTTGTTCATTAGATTTGCAGTGTTTGAGTAAAATATGATTTTTGAAAAGTTGAACCAACTTTATGCCGCAGTATACAGAGTGTGCATGCAAGCACTAAGTATACTCCTGTGAAGTTCATCAACTTGCCCTTTTTCCATCACTTTACTTTTAATTCATTGTACAGATTCCTGTCAAAACTGCATCCATCGACAGTATGTTTTTGGTCCTTTTTTTTACCTTTCTTTTTTTTTGTCTGCCAAACTTGGAGGATTGCGAGCCTGCCGTTTTTGACGCCACCTCATCTCATGCGTTTGCTTGCTATTGTGTTGAGCAAGAAAAGACTATATTCATTACAAACTATTCATTGTTTCTAAAGAGATGTGTTAATGAACTGCCCTGCATGCTGGACATGTAGCTATGTTTTTTTTTCCTTTTTGTGCTTGAAGATGTCCTTTTTGTCGGATGACTCCAGCATGGCATTCATACTTCATTTATGGCCTCCTCACTTTTTTGGGACAGCAACAAAAAAGTGACAGGACTTCCCACTCCCCCCTTGTAATCTATACAAGTGCATTTCAGCTGTGTTGAAGTGCACCACCATCGGCTGTCATTAGGCTGCAGTGAATGCGCTGTGCATTCCTGGTGGAAGTTGATCGGCGGGGATCCTGGTGCAAGGGGGACAAGAAAAGACTTCACTATTAAGGAAATCGCCAATCTCTTTCCTGGAAGTTTAGTCTGTTGCTTAAAGCTTATATTGTTATTTAAAGATATTCCATTTTGCATTTGACAACCTTTGAGTAATTTTAAAGCGTAATTTAATTACAAAGTTTTATATGTAAGTTGCAAGAGAGAACGTGCTACAGGTTGAAGCATATAGATTACTCGGATTATTAATAAGGACATTGCTGCCCAAAAAGTATTTTTTAACATTGGTGTAGAGAAATTGGCTCGACTCCAATTTATACAATGAGCAGTATTGTGCTTTTGCAGCATGTGCTTCAAACAGAAGTGTGAGAGCTCTCTTGGTCTCTCCCACACATCTCACTATTGTATTTCAAAAGGTAGCCTATTGTTGAAGAGATTCTCACAGCCGAAGTCAAAGTAAATTGCCATGTTTTTGGAAATGTATGTCTTCAACGAACTGACCTGTTTTGGACTGAAATGCACTAAAAAAATCTCGCCTGTAATCACGTGGAAGTTAAAGGAAAAGTTAGTTATTCTCCACATCTCAAGAAGATATGTTTGACTTTCTGTTACGACTTAATTGTAACATTTTGATACTTTATTATCAGTTCAGGAGAGACTGTTGTTTTGTCTTAAACGAACTCAATATTTGCAAAGCAATAACAATTATTATAATCAATAATGTCTGGACATTGTTAGATCGCCAGGGATTGACACCCTGCATGTACAAAATGAGGGAGTACCATTCGCCAATAAATCTTGAAAATATGTTAATTAATCTTTCTTCTTATATATAGTATATATATATATTTTGCTGTGCAAAATTATTTCACTCACTAACCATATGTGATGTTCATATGTGCTCGTTTTTCATTTCATACAATTAAATGATATGCAATAAATGTATGTAATTGTCTTCAATAAGTTTCTCACTTTTCTTTTGACTTGTCCTGAGATTATTTGCTTTTGTGATTGAAACTAAAATGGAAACACATGGAGGTTACTGCACTACAGTTTAACACTGTTTGTATTTGCTGTTGTCACCTTTGTTAAAGTGTTTTCTTCCAACAGTCATTTAATAATCGGCCACCCTGAACAAATCAGAAACATTTTTTTTTTTTGCAAAAGTTATTTAGAAATTTACCCAAACAGATGAAGCAAATATTGCACATCAATTCAGATTTAGACACGCTTTTCCATTTTGACCCTTGAGTGCTGCATGTAAAAATGTGGAGATCCAAGTCCGGTGTTGCAGATAAGTTGATGGAACAACAGACAAAGATGAAGACAGGCAGTGGCCTACATTTGAATGTACTTTTGTTCTCACACGCTATTGTCTGATACAGGTTAAATTAAACTGTGAAAGGAAGATTATTTTTACAATACAATAATCCCAAAACGTAGTCTTAAGACTGAAACCTTATTTGTTGCCATTTCTGTTTCATTATTTTAGCTCCATTCCCATTCTAAATCATCTTTATGATCAAATGGTTATGCATAATGACATTATCTTTGCATATTTTTTTAAAACTATTTTGGCACATGAATTACATTCTCATTTGTGATTATGGAAGCCCAATATGATTTATATAATTACATCTTGTTAATCTTACTGTTAAATGTGACCTATGATTCGTGTATGTGTATGGGACACTCTCTCTCTCTCTCTGCCTGTATGTGCTTGTGTGTGGGTGTGTGTATGCATGTCTATAAACTTAGGTGTGAATGTGAATGCGTTTCCTTGAATGACAGTATGTAATGACCACATCTCTAAGTGAATTTCTTGTGGCTATGCATGTTCTACATTTGAACCCTCCATTTGCCCTTTTTCATGGGCTTGCTTCCTGATGTGAGTCTGTGTGTGTGTATGTGTGTGTGTGTGTGTGTGTGGCATCCCCGCTGTCAGTGTTTTTTGAACACTGTGTGCTCACTGTCATTAGCCTATCATTGTTTGGCTTTCCCAATTTCACCTGCTTTATCCTGTTTGTCAGTGGGGCCTGGATGTTGGCCTGGGGCGGACATGCTTTTGGAGAGGGTGGTACAGCGATGTCATGTCAGGCATGTGAGGGGGCGTTGGAGAAGTTGCCAATGTAAGTCTGCCACTGCGGTGGGCAGAAGACGCTTAGTGCTGTACCCAGTCGTGCATTTCAGTTGGTGTTTAGACAACTCTTTTTGACTTGTTTCAACATAACCTTTGCACTACACTGGTGCGCTAATTGAAAAGGCCACTTTTCTGAAAGACAAGAGGAAAAGTTCCTTTCTAAGTTCTGGGACAAGGATTTGCCTCGTGGGCATCTTGTTTCACTGTTCCAGAACAATTTGTTTGTTGGAACAGGAAGACCAATGTGCCAAAATACACTTTGAAGAAACACTAAGGTTTCTGAGGGCAGATTCAGTCCGGATTTGTCAGCTTTTTGCAACTTAGCCAGTTTGTGTGAGCAGAGGGTATACACAAAGGGCACCTTTCATAAAAATGAACCACACTGTCACAAAGCACAAAGCGTGATGATCTGTTATTCTACAGTATGGACAGTAGTATTTGCAGTTATAAATTCCACACTTGCTAAATTTACAAAAAAAAAAAAAAAGCCATCTTCTGCACCATCTGCCAGTGATGATGTGCTACACAGCTCATCAAAAAAAAAAAGGAAGAAAGAAGCCAGTTTTAACCCACTTGTATCCCACTCTGTTTTGTGTGATTTCCTCTGAGGTGCTCGCGGCTGCTGTGGTGGCTGATTCGCCCAGAGTGAAGGGAGAGACTGAGACAATAGTCGGGCTTGGGCTGAATTAAATGATTTTGCTGATGATTAATAGTGGTGCGGGCCACTGGCTCCCGCGATGTAGAGATGATAAATCGTGAGTGCAGCTCCGTGCAGCTGTGCCAGTGTTGGGTCTTAGCATGCACACACCATGCAATTTACAGCCAAGCCGCTCTCCTTCTTCCTCAATTTATCTAATTACATCTATTTCATCTAAGCAGTAGCCTGCTCTATTTTGATATTTCATATTAACCACAACAATGTATTGAGTGACTTCAGGGAGGATAACTGTTTGCCCCCCACCCCCCACCCGCCAACCCCTTTAAAGAACATGTTTATGTACTTGCCATTTCAAAGAGAAAACTTTTATTTCTTTATTTAGGAGTTAGGCTTTTCTTCTCTAAAGGCCGTGAATTTGTGTGGTGGATTTTTTGATGTGTTTAGAGTGGCATGTAAAAAATGAAAATTTGGTTTCTGTCAGACTCTTTAGCTTGTTTATTTTGATTGTTTCCTTATTGGTATAGATCAGTTAGACCTCTAATGTCCCTGCACTGGAACTGGAAACACACTCACCACACAGAGACTAGAAATGAAAACACACGCACCAGTTTAAATGCAAATACACATACAAACAATAAATTGCCCTGCATAGATTTGCCCCAGCATTGTTTCACAGCATGATGTTCTTTGCGTTCCACTGTATTCTGGCATTTATGACTGAAAAACTTCGCTCTTACAGCTAAGTGCTATATGCGTGAAGACGGATCTGATTTGCAAAAATATGTTTCCTGTTATATCTGTGGCAGCATTTTGCAATGCTTATGTAAGTGGTAAATCTATCGATTTTCCAATGATGCACTTATATATGGAACATTGGCGCTATGCGGGCTGACAGCATAAGATGCAGCACAGTGTTCACTCAAGTAGTAGTACGCCAGTTGACAGACCCCAAAATAAGAGCTGGTTGGTCTGAATTGTTACAGGGTTCAGATGTTGCCAGAGGAAGGGCTGGAGAGGATCTGTGGTGTTGCTGTTTGTGTGTGATTCTGCATCTCTTAACTCACGCTGGCCTGTGTGCGAGGTCGATTAGTGCCCGTGCATGTGTATGCTTGTCTCTTGTTGTCTTTTGGAGAAGAGGATGAGTAGAGGTCAAAAGTTACAGCACACAAGGCTGCTCTCAAAGTCATTAGAGTAATCCCTGCCCTGGGGAGCTCATGCTCATTTCCTCTGCCCAGAACCCACTGAATAAGATGTGCATGCACATCCGACATGGTACAGTACACAGTAAATTCAGCGCTACTTACTGCCATTTTCTTTTTTTTAACCCATTTCCTGTATTTCACCACTGCCTTCGAGAGTTACACTCTTGCAGCATACTTTTGAAGGTTGTTTTGTTGAAGAGTTGAACAAAATCCAATCACCTCAACGCAAAAATGTTTTTGTGTGTGTACAAACTATATCCCTTGGAGGTTTGTTAAGATGATATAGCTCCAAGTAGATGACTCAAATACAGTAGGTTTAAATACACAAAAGGTGTTTATGTACTTCCATGCAGCACAAACGTTCCCTACCAATGTGTAGAGCAGGGCACTGTGAAGCCTGTTAGGTTCAGTTTCCTGCTGCTAACATTTTCTTTTTTCATCCCATTTAGCTGAACAGAAAAGGCCACTGAGTCAAGTGGAATTAAGGATGAGAAAAATAAGGCAACCTTCGTATTGCGTTAACTAATGACAGTAGTATAATGGGCATTGTCCAGTTGTGTTCATGGCACCCATGATGATCAGGGAGAGGAGTTCATTTTATTCTCACACCCACATCATGCAAGGATTGTACAATGCAATGCAATAAAATAACTAGTGGTACTTAAGCAATATGCATTGTTCCTGCTAATGCTTTAATTAAGGTTTGTTTTTAAAAAAAAAAACAACAACAACATATAACATCTGAAAAATACCAAGCAATTTAAATTGCGTTGTTTCAAGGAAGTCGTAGTGCAGTGACTCTACAATAATTGAAGAGTTAAAAAACTATTTAAAAAATGGATCTGCTTTTAAGTAAAAATGAATTCTATGATGTAATTGTAAACATCTGAAAAGATTTATGTTCAGATCATATTTAGTATAACTTTAGTATTACTGTCAGGGAAGTGTGCATTTATGATAAAAAGTTAACTTTTGCACGACTTTTAACTCATTCTTTCTTTCTCCTATTATTTTTATCCTTTTTAATCCTTTTAATGGCTGCTAAGGGTTGAAGCCTTTCCATTCAAACACTGGTCTAAAACTGTTGCAAGCCCATCTCAGGGCTTTTTTACTTAAATACTGAAATTATCAAGTAATTTAATTTTATTATATGTATATTCTATAAAATTAGGATTTTGTAAGATATTTTTTCTTTGTGACAAACCCCAAAACATTTCATCATATATGTGTTTGATTCTGAAAAACTGCAGAGCAGATAGGAGATATACTGGATGTGCAGCGAGTTTAGAGTAAAAGTAGTCAGGTGTCTCAGCACAACAAGGTGGAAGCCAGATCTGCAAATGGTCTGTCCAGATTCATAGCAGATATAGAGACAAAAAAACAAACCTCATCTCGCATTACAGTGTATGTGAGAGGTACAGCACAGAAACACTCAGTCTTTTTAGAATTAAACAGACGCCAGGGATCAATTTAGATGCTTATTTTATTAGAGTACGTTTTGCTCTTTCTATACATTTCTTTCTTTGTGGCAGAAAGTCACAGCGTGCTTCAAATAGACATTAAGCGGATATGTGTGGTGTCATTAGAGAGTTGTCCTTGAAAGACTGGCTGCAGGTTATGTTGGTAATGAGGTGGTCGGGACTTGCTGGGGTAATTTTATATCTCTGTAAATGGACCCAAACCAAGAGCCTGTGACTTAAATAAATGCAGCACCATCTCTCAGCAGTCCTATTGCACAAAAGGTGACAGAGTAATTATTTTATTGGGATTTTAAGTTTTTCCCCTCACAGTTTTAAAGCATGCCTTTTTATGAAATGTAGATGAAATGTAAATGTAAATGTACAGCAGAGCAATGCATATGAGGAACACATCCAATGAGGATTGAGTCATTTACAGAGAAGAACAATAATCAATATTCAGCAAATGTTTATTTTTCCACTGAGAGTATTTTTTCTTATTTCTATCTTCTTAGTACCTAGCGTGTACTCAACTATATAATGACGTAGTAGAGAATGGCAAGCGCGCCAGGAGAAGGTCTTACAACATAAATGAGACATTTCCATACATTATTTGTACGAGGTGATATGTACCGACATGTCTCCTGTAATCTTGATTCACCTTGTGCAGAGGCCTTTTTGTCTTTTTTTCAACAAGTTCTTGCCCTTTCCAAGACTGTTGACAACTCTGTTTATTTATTCTGCTGTGGTACTAATATCATCTACTGTGTAGATGTGAGTTATGTGGCATTTATTTGAAAATCCAATGATTTAAAATGTCCTTCACTGCACTGTATGGGCCACAACTGTCATTTTCCACAGTGTTTTAAAGGGACCATGCTTGGCATCAGTGCACAGGGAGCTAAGAGCTAAACTAATGTTTTCACTTGTGTAGCAACATTTATAGGGAATATGAATAACTCTATTTGGAACTGCCTAGAAAAACATCCTTGTGTGTGCTTTGAGAGGAGTGCTTATGAAAGTGTCTATCATGAGGTAGAAGGGAAGGACTTACCATCCTCCACTGTTTATTTGTCTGCATGATAAATTCCTTCCCTTTTAGAGCAATTAATTATGTAATTTAACGGAATGACTAAAGGCCTTGGCATAAGAGTGTTTTGCCTTTTCTGTGCGACGGCACACTGTATGCTTAGATATTTTAGTTTTGTCTCTTGTGGTTACAGTGTTTTGATGCATGGGTTCTGCCCGTAAAATCTATTTGCATGCAAATTTTTACATTTCCCATTTCCGCATCAAACTCTTACTATGATACATGTACTGTGTTTCACCAGACAGACAAGGTGAGAGTGAATCTGGTTCAGAATGGATCCACTAGTTTCTTTGTGATTGTTTGTGCGCGTCTGTCTCTGTGTGTGTGTGTGTGTGTGCCTGACAGGGAGGCATAGAGTGACACAAGCAGTAGAAGAAACAGAGGAGGTAGCGCAGAAGACAGCACGTGTTTTTCCCTTGATATTCATTTATCTATTCTTATGTTTTGTCCAATCTGATCTGCTCCTTTAGGTCATCGAGAAAATTCCTCCATCTGTGATTTCAAGCCCCATTCATCCGTGCCCTTGGCTCTCTGAGGTAAAACACTTCTTCCTTGATCTCTGTAAGTTTTTTTGTTTTTCTCTCCACTGTAGTATCGACTTCATAACAGCAAGTGCTGTCAGATTTGTCCACAAAATACCAGTTCTTTAAAAACATCTAAATTTTATATATAGTATTATTACAGGGCATGTTGTTTCTATTTTCCTCTTATATAACAACACAATGAAATCCATATTAATTATTCATTAAAAATAGACTCATTAAATAGAGTGGATACAGTTACCACATATAGTGTTTTATAGCATATAGCACATGTCAGATAGGCTTCCATAATGGATATAGCTTGTCAATTCCTATTCATATGCTAAAGATCACACACCTTCTTTATGTTGACAATATCTCTCACGTCTCTCTCTATCTCCCCAAAGCCATAACACTGCAGAGTACTGTATAATTTTTTTTCACCTTATTTAAATCCATGAAGACAAAACACACACACACACACACACACACACACACAACACAAATATGAAGTTTTCAGTCGTTCCTATCAACAGCACAACCGACAGATTATAGCCACTCATTCAAATGTAAATGAAATGTTCAGATTTTGTGTGGAAAGGGCGGAGAGAAAGAGCAGGGTGTGTCTTGGACAGCAGGATACAGGCAGAGTGAAGAATAAGATTCTAGTCCTGAAATCAATTCAAAGAGACAGAGAGGAACCTGGGCAAATGTATACTGCAAACCCAATTGTTCTCGTAATGGTTTCACTGATTGTTCAATAGCACCGTCCACCCCCACACGCCAACCCACCCACCCCTAATGTGCTTGGTCATGATACGTAAGGATTTCTGATGTTTGTTTGAGCTTGTATTCATGACTTCCCACCCTGGTGAAGTTGACTGTATGTACATGCGTGTGTGTGTGTGTGTGTGTGTGTGTGTGTGTGTGTGTGTGTGTACATGTATTTCTATCCAGTGTTATTTACTTGATTGTGTCTAAGTGGGGCGTGGGATCAGTAGCTGGCCTTTCTCCAGCTCCACTTAACTTCAGGAGGGGAAGCAGGACAAAAGCCATCACGGAAGACAAGGACAAATCATCTTTAGATGAAGTGTTTTAAGTGCTCTGATTCTCCTCCCACGTCATCACTGTGAATTAGGTGCCCTCTGCTCGCTGCTAAGGGATGTGGAGTATAAACAATGCCAAGTGAACGGATGTTAAACGAATGAAAGTGGAAAACCATGAGGGTGTCTATCTTAGTCAGCCCTCGTAAATCTCAGTTCTCTTGCCATGCCGCTGTGCTATACCGATGCTGCGTGCTGACAACCTGCCAGCCGGGCTTAGAGTGGCTGTGTGCGGTGCGGGTCAGGTCGATCCTGTTCTTAGCGGTTTCAACTATGGCAGACGTTGCAGACAGAGCCATGTCTTTGTTTTATGCAAATCCATGCATATGAGGAAGGCGGTGGGGTGGGGGTGGGGTTGGGGGGGGGCAATGAGCAGTCTGGCCACGTAGCTTCAGGAGGACAGGCTGAGTGATGGAGACAGAGAGCCAGGTCTCGGCGTCCTTGCCTGGGGAAAGAGCGTCCTGGACTGCCTAGACACCATCAGGACACCGTGTCACTGCGCCTCTAGCCCACCAATGCAAGAGAAAAAGACTTTTCCAGGCACAAATGTATTTACATTGTGAGATGTTGAGTTGGCGAGGAGATAAAGAGGGGTTAACATTGGTATGAGACTGCCAGTGTGTCTCACCTGTGACTGGTTTGTGTGTGTGTGTGTGTGTGTGTGTGTGTTATGAAGGAAGGCGAACCTCAGGGGTTCGCCATGCAAAGAGACAGTGGAGTTCAGAGCTCAGCAGGGAGTTGAAGGACCCAGAATGTGCTGACGAAAGATAAAACACCAGGTGTATGTGTATAGGTACTGTAAGTGTGTGAAAGAGGCTGTGAGAAGGAGAGCTGAGTGCAAATATAGATTGGGGAAGCAGGCTTGCGTGTGTTTGTGTGTGTGTGTGTGTGTGTGTGTGTGTGTGTGTGTGTGTGTGTGTGTGTGTGTGTGCATGTGTGATCACATTAACATACTGTAACCGGTAGGCAAGGCCACCAACCATGTGGCCGAGGTATGGCAGGGTGGTTTGGGCGAAACCTGCTGAGACAGTGTCACCCACACACCACATCTAGTCACAACCATCCATTTCCCATCGTCAAAAGTGTCTTTTGTGCAGTAAATTACACCATGTGAATGTTTTCTAAATAGTCTTCCTTCCTCCATCCTCTTTCGATCAACCCTTCTCAGAGCCGTGTACTAACAGTAACGTTTGGTTGGAGGCTCTTCTATCACAGAGAGCTCTATTTCTGGGTGCCAGGATGTTGGTCTCAGTCGTCGAGGGCAGATGAAATCGATCCAGATTGACCTGTCATGTGGAGGAGAAAATGAATGAGATAGAGGAGGCCATGGGGGGGGGGGGGCACAAGTACAAAAACAACCTCCTGCTCCATATGGGTCAAAAGTCGAGGGATGATTTATTCAAGACTGGGTGTTATCCCTCCTTTCCCTTCCTCCTTTCCGCTCCACCTGCCTCTCGGAAAGGAGTGAGAAACTGGAGACTGCTCAGGAGGAGCTGACTATATTTAGCCTCGTGACCAAAGACACTGTGGTCTAACTTTAAAGATAAAAATATAGATATCCATGTACAGTGAGATGGGCACGGTTTGCATCACTATGAGGCATCACCTTTGTCAGCTTGAACAGACTTGTAGCTTTCATTGGGCGCTGAATCATCAAAAGAGTATGGTTGCCACATTCACTAGAGTTTCCTACATTTGTTCTGCATTAGTACGACAAAGGATCACATTCAAATGTGTAAGCATAAACATGAAACTTTAAACAAGAAACTAAAATTTTACTCACTGATTGTGAGAACGATACTTTCCTAGCAAAGAAAGAAAGAGAGGGAAAGATTTATGGCTGCATTTGTCTGTGAAGTGGTACTAGATTTAGCCCAGTGTGTTTGGGCAGAGCTCCACTTTGCTAATTATTTTCCTGTGGCAGAGTTCTCAGCATGGCGCTCCTCTCTCGCTCTGAGAACAGAGGCTCAGCGGTAAGTGCTTAGTCAGCCCTACTCTGGGTGTGAGATACTGTTGGGTCTCTGGTGGACTGTCGGGGAGGCGGAGCAGCGTGGGACCAAGCCATCGCAAGTGCGAAGGCTTTGAGGAGAGGGCAGGCCCATTGTCACCCATCGGTGAAAGGAAGGGGAGTAAAATACTACTGTTAGGGACAGTGAACGTGAGCTCTGGATTGTATCTGCCTCAGTCCTCATCATCATGAGGCAATATCGCTGTTAGAGCTGGTAGTTTGTGGAGCCTGGGTGCCAGTTGCAGAGGCCTAACAAACCCAGTCATTGTGGATAGCTGTTATAAAAGTCTATTAATCCCCAGGAAACACTCATTAGCAATTAGCAAAGGCATAATCTCAAAAATGTATAAACACATCATCATTAGTTTCTATCCTGCCTATCCGTCACTCGTTTAGTCCAGAAGAAACTGTCTGCGTTCTGTTTCTCTCCTCCCCCTCTATTTATACTCCAATGTCAAACTTGTCTTTCTTTCTATCTCTTTTTAGAGTGACACACAGCTCCTCCTCTTCTGTCTGCCCTGCTATCCTCCAAATGGCTCTCCTCCCAAACAAACTTAGCTTCCTTCCCGTCGCCTCTGTTCCCAACGTCACTTTTCCTCCCTCCCTCGATCCTCCCTCCGTCCTCCCCCCTCTGTCTCACACTGCACCTGCTTCCCTCCCGCTCTCTGCTCCCTCTCCAAACGTCACTTTTCCCTTCCCTCCTCCTCCACTCCTATTCTCCCCCTCGTTAGCTTGATGAATGGCTTCACTGCAGGGAAAGTGCTGATTTTCATCCCTCTGTCTGATTTCTGCTGGCTGTTATTAATTTCAAACACTCAGAGAAAAGCAAGTGAGTCAATAAATAAGGAAACGAACACACTTCATCCTGCCATACAGCAGCTCTCACAGTCATTCACCTAGGAATGCGGGTCCTCTGTGGAGGCCAGGCCTGCATTTGTACTGATAGAGTTCAGCTCCACTCTTGAAACATGTTTTAGTATTTTTTTTTTCCCCCACAGCATCATATCAAATGTTTCTGGAGTATTTTCAGTATCTCGCTTCACTCAGACAAACAGGACCAGAGGGAGACAGAATGGCACACAGTAAATAGCTCTGAAGAGACCTGCAGTGTCCTCTCTCATCTTTCACACAATTTAAGAAACGTATACAGAGAGTGACAGTGGGAAGAGAGATAGAGAAGATGCAGGGTGAAAGAGACGCAATGAGAAGCAACAGGCCAACAGGAGTTATTGCTGCACATTAAACGCTTGCTGTCCACACAGTGTGGCTGGGGCTCTATGTCTAAGTGCACATTACTTACATTCCAGGCTTAATGCATTGTGCTCGCCCGTTAACATCAAACACAAACAGCCCCCCGAAACAATGCGATTTTCATACTTTTTTGCTGTCAGACAGGAACACTTGCACCAAAAGTTGTTTTTTTCTATATTATGTATTTAATTAAAATGAGTTAGGATATTCAGTAAAAACAGTGTTCACCGTAATACATGCACAGACACAGAAATTAAAGCTTGAGATATCAACACGCTGTTTACAAAGGGTGTAAGACAAACAGTCTGGTGGAGCATCCTATTAATACATCGTCTGAGACACACACACACACACACACACACACGCACACAATGTCCTCTGTTGTGTGGGCTGTGCTCTCCAGCGCACAAGGCTTATGTTTCACTTGGCTCAGACAATTAAAACAATAATTGGTGTAACATTAATAAAAATATACAGATTTTATAAAGGTCAACGTTCCTTAATTTTGCTTGTGTATTCCTGACACCTCATTAATTTATTGATTTCAGATTCGTAGGATTGTCCTACTGAATCACAGCACAAATACGTTTCTGTAAAAAAGTTGTTGGTGTTAGACATTAAATGTAGCTGATAACATGTGTATAGTAATGAGA